TAGTAGTGGTAGTAGTAGTAGTAGTAGTCGTCGTCGTCGTCGTAGCGGTAGTAGTCGTAGTGGTAGTGGTAGTGGTAGTGGTGGTGGTAGTGGTAGTGGTAGTGGTAGTGGTGGTAGTAGTAGTAGTCGTAGTCGTAGTCGTAGTCGTAGTCGTAGTCGTAGTCGTGGTCGTAGTAGTAGCAGCAGCAGCAGCAGTAGCAGTAGCGGTAGCAACAGCAGTAGCAGTAGAGGTGGCAGTCGTTGTAGTAGTAGCAGGTGCTGCTAGCTGCTGCTGCTGCTGGAGCTGGTGCTGCTGCTGCTGGTGCTGGCGGCGGCGGTGGTGTTTTTTGTAGTTCTTATCGTCGTCGCTGGTCTTGCTTGTGTTGTTGATGCTGCCATAGCTGGATGCGCTTCCTGTCATGGTTCTTGTGCCTGTCATTGTTGTTGTTTTTGTTGGCTCTGTGCCTGTTGTTGTTGTTGCTGATGGTGATAATGATTCTGCTGATGTGGTTCATGTCGTCGCCATTGCCGTTGTGTTGCGGTTGTAGTTCTAGCTTGTAGCTGTATTTGCTGTTGTTGTTGTCGTAGTGATAGTAGTGGTGGTGCTGCTGCTGGCGGCGGTTGCTTTTGTTGTTGTCATTGCCGTTGTCCTTGCTGTTGTTGTTGCTGCTTTTGTTCTGGCTGCTGCTGGTGGGTGGTAGGTGGTGTGGTGTGTCGTTGCGGTGCTTTGCTTTTGGTCGATGGTGCGGTTGGTTGTTGCAGTTGCTGCCGCATGCTGCCGCTGTTGCCACTATGGAAAAAGGGATGTGACACCCATCTGAAAGTAAGTATCAGAATCGAGTCTGCAAGTGATATGGTCGCGTAAGGAAAATGAACCCACGGGTCTTTTTCTTCTCGTGTTTGCTGGTCGCTAGGTGATGCCCTCGTAGCGCTCAGCGACGAAATTAAAAAGTTGACTTAAGCACAGACTCACCAGGTGCCAAATCATTCCGCTTACATCGGAGCTCGGATCTCGATGTTTGTTTTGCATGTCGCCATGCTGGCAACATGCCTCGACAAATGCACAGCTATTCTGTGGCCTCCCACAGGTCTTTTGATGATTTCATGTTGTGATCAGCCCTGACGATAAAGGCCTGTTTGGGAAGGTACCGTCTGTGACAGGCCACAGGGTGTAAAGCGCATCGTTTGATGGGACAACTTTAAGCTGTCCATGTACAACCTCGACAGGCCGCTGGGGAGGCTATCAATAATTGAAAGGTGAAACAAGCGGTTCAGAGACTCTGACTCCATCACCAAGGCAAGAAAGTCCGTTTACTCAGACACACAACAATTTAAAAAGTCGTTGGGCTCTTAGGTCCTACACCTGCTGCGCAACACGCGGATAACGCAGCTTGAGGGACAGGATTTTTCCATGTCCAAAAACACCTCGTGCTGTGCCCAAGACAAATCCAAGGCGAGGCAACGAGGATTTTGCAATACAGCGTAGAGCCACAAGAGAAAACATGTCCGGTTCGACATGTTGTTGTAAAGTAATTAGCATGTTTCAGCTTTTTGCTTTTGGTGTTGTTTCTTGACTAATCAAACCAACTCGTCTGGCAAACCAACGGCTGAAGGCAGCACCTGAAGCATTTTGCCCGAGTCTTGATGAGAGACTGCCGAGTCCTGCTGAGAGAGTGTGCTTGAGCTAGCGGTGCCTGAGCAGCAGAGCAGTAACTTAGGAGTTCCTGGCAAACAACAGAGGACCTCCGCAGTACCATCGATGCTGTCCGTCTGCCCGGGGCCACACCGTACCGCAACATGCTCGAAGCAAAACCTTCGTGTCGCGTCTTCCACGTCAGCCTCGCGTGCCTTGTTCAACAGCTCCGCTCCAAAATGAGGAAAGAGATCAAGAACGCCAGTGCCTCGGATTGCTTGCTTGCGCCGTGCTAGAAGCGATCAGTCACGTAACTATATCAGAGAGCGCTAACAAAAACATACAATCTCTCTCTCTCTCTCGATCTCTTCCTTTCTGTTGCCAGGGTAGAGGACTCTGTCTCTCCTTTCTTTCGATCGTTTTTGCAGTTTTGCTGCATTCGTCCCTTCTTTCTTTCTTTCTTGAGCATGCCTTCGCATTTTATGAAGCTCGCCCAAATGCCCGGGACAAACTTCTCCGGACCTATTCCACACTCTGGAATCGGAACATGCGCGCGAAGCACTCAGCAGATTTGCTCGCTGCCATGAACCTCCCGGTGCCCGTACCCAGCTCAGGAGACACAATATCATGCCCTGACCATAATCATAACGCATCATACCTAACTCCTAGACTAGATCGAGCAGAAGAGACTCTAACAGTCTTCAACTCCGTCGACGTCTATCTGGGATTCTATGCATGCCCTCAGCAGAGCTCTTGTGGATGCTTTGTGCACGCCGGTGGGTGCGACTATCAGTCGGGGTAGTGTGCCTGCTTGCGTGACTCGTGCATCCTAGATGCCCAGCAGCCCAGATGCCGAAATCGATGCGGCCTCCACCACCCTCTTGCCCAGATCAACAAGCAGCAATACGTTGTACTGAGGAAGTAGTGGGGGCGGCCTCACCAAGACTTTGTCTGAGCTGACGTTCAGAGCTGACTCATTCGAATGATTCGAATCGATGCGAGAGTTGAGCTGGGCCAAGGAGGTCTGATCGGTGAAGTCTCTGAGGCCGATCAAATGGCTGGTCCTGCCATTCTGTTGATATCTCACATGGAAAACCTCAGTCCGGAACTTGCTGTTGTAGGCATCAACCAGGCGCGTGTGGAAGGCGGATGCTGCTGAAAGGCTTGACACTCCGAGCAGTTCTTTCTGTGCTTTGGCTGCTTCCTCTGGTGTCGCGACGAAGTCTCGAAATCGCATGCCCTGGAGGCTCCGCCTGGCCGGACTGGCATCCCGCAGCAAGATTGTGGCCAGCTCAGGTGAGTGGTGTGAGAGCCGGAGGGACTCATCCAGCTCAACCACGGCATCGCAGATGAGCTGCAGCAGTGCCCGTGCAGCTTGGAGATCGCTGCTCATTTTGCTATGGTTGATGCTTCGCTCTGCTGATTGCTTCAGCAACCCCTGCAGTGCAGTGGCAGCGATGACAGCGGCCGTGGCACTGACGAGTTCCAAGCCAATGAGTGCCGCAGGCGACAATACGGCAGCCAGCACGATAATGGCTACGTTGCAGAGAGCCACCAATCGAATGTTCTTAGTGAGACATAGGGCAGGGATGCGGACAAGCGCTGTAATCTGTAGCGAGGCTTGTGGAGGCGGCCACGCATTCTGATCCTCAGGACAGAGCACGGCTGGACCCGCGATGACACTCATGCATAGTTCTAAAAAATCCCAAACGACAGGCTCCTATGTACATGGAAACACTGCAATTCCACTGTGCCTCTGGGTTGGCGGCCTGGTAGATGATGGCAGTGCCGCCGATGCCCATCAAAAAAACATACCAGTAGTTGTGAGTACAGGGTCTGCGCAAGCTGGGCACCAGAAGATAGCTTAATGAGGTCGCGAAGATCGTGAGTACCATCCATCGCCAGGCTTCGGGCCCGAACGGAGATTTCATCCTCACTTCTGATTTCGAGCATTTTGTGTTTGGCTGCATTTTGCGTAGCTACTTGCGAACAGGGTCCTCGCCTGTGATGTACACACGAACAACCAAAACGCAGATGTCCGACAAGCCAGGGGTCATCGATCTTTGAATCACAAGCAGCGTCAGGAGCGACGCGCCCACCAACACATTGAAGTAGACCTTATCTTGCCGTTAGGTGCTTCGGCAGCAAGTCTTTCAGATCTGCGTTGGGTAGAAACGAGCTATAGTTCACCCCAAGACTGATCTCCAGACCAAAACATGTCCGCCGAACAGGCACATGTCGACCCTGTCTGAAGCCGTAAAACCAGCCGCAATCTCAGACCGGTACGTGTGCCAGGCGGACACGCTTGGCTTTTATCTCTGTCACGACAAGCCACTCGTCCTCCTAGGAAAATGGATCGGGCCAGTCTGCAAGACATCGCGGATGGCGAAATTCAGTGACTGGGATTGCGTCGCTAAAAACTATTCGTGAACCAGGTCGTGTTTGCTGAAGCTTCTGAAAAATGGGTAACCCAAAAGATTTTTCTATCATTGCTTCTCGCTTGGAACTAGTTGCAACAAATCAGACATCAATCTCGGCACGAACTTCTTGGTCTAGCCTGAGGTCCTGCACAAGTGATCTGCGAGCCTGAAAACACCGCATTCTCTCGACGTGCTTGCGGATGGCCTGTACGGGACGGGACGATATTGATTTCTTGACGCGTTAACTTCCTCGGATGGACGTCAGCTTCATCCATCTTCATCCTCACCTCCCTCAAATCTGCGAAAGCCGCGAGGGTCATGTGCATCGGCATGTCGGGAATCGGAGTAGGGCCATACGGAAGCATCATGAACAATGAAGATTGCCGATTTACGGCAACCAGTCCAGAGCCCCGAAGATTGTGTTCGGGAGTTTCGAACTACTTCGTGGTCGTAGTCCACTTCAGCTTTCCTACTTGACGCTGTCCCGGTAGACCGCTAAGCAATATTTTGGAGGAAGCGGTTGTTCGCCTAGACATGCGTGCAAAAGGATCTGGTCTTGATCCTGCACAAGTACTGGGCTTGGCGAGCTCAGCAAAAGAAAACTCCCCATCTCCGGCCGGTCTCAACTAGTGTTAGCAGCATCCAAACTTGTTTCTCATGTTACCCACCTGCAAGATCTCGGCGCGGCGTGCCACTGCAATGCACAAGAGCTTGAGGACGAGCATTAGTTGCCTGGGCTGTTTTGGCGCACCTGAATCTCATAGAGGTTCGGGGAGACGGTCAAGATATTGCGTCTGCAAGAAGGCGTGTAAGTTTCAAAGTGACTCCGCTGAACCTGGGTGATCGCAACTCTATAGGCAAGTCGCAAAGCAGCACAGGTCCAAACAAAGGCCGTGTCTCGAGACTCCATGATCGAGGCAGCTTTCCAAGCTTTAGAGTTTAGAGAAAGCTGTAGACTCCTGCCGGCAGAAGTATCCAGCGCCTCCTCGCAGGAAGTCTTTTTGAGCCAAAGGGCAGGCGACTGCATAGAGGTCCGCTGTCATGCCACCAGCTTTGTGGCTGCATGGTTCGGATGATAGGATAGATTCTAAATAGACCGAGGCCTGTGTACGGACAACCGCAAGCCCATCAGTCTAAGTGGCTGGACGAGCCGTACACCCCAACCCTGGTCTCGACTGCCCAAGATGCGGCCTCCTTCATCTGTCCACCACAACGGATCAGCAAACGCTTGATGTCTTCGTGCCAGTCCTCAGGACCAGCTCGGGGATGAAGCTAAGATCTTGGCCCTGACGAGGCTAAAGGCTCACGGCTGGACACGCTTCGCCAAACTTGCCGTTGCACAACTTGCAGCCCTGTCCCAACTGAGGCCATCACATTCATGCCATAGCTCTTCGTAATTTCGATCTGGAAGGTCTCCTCGAACTTGATGCGTCCAAGTCAAAGCAGTAACGACTTCTGCTCATGCTGTTCCTTTGAGCTGGGAACCTTCAAGTCCACATGCCTTGAACGGAAAGTGCCTTTCCCTCCAAACAAGGTGTACATGTAGAACTTGATCTGCATGCTTCAGGCCAGACAGAAGAGTTTCCATAGCATCGCAGTGTAGCGCTGGTGCCGTTCGACGAGTTAAAATAAAGTAGCTACTACTCGACGACGGTTCACCGGGCGATTGAGCAGATTAAGGCCCGAAGCATCCCGAACCTGTCACTCCGATCACCACCCTTGGAACTCCAAGCACACCGGGAAATGTGAAAGATCTGTGCACCAAGCAGCCACTACTATGTCAACCCTGAAATTGCGTTCCTGCTCGGCAACGAAGGCTGCAAGCGTCGCCAAGCTTTTTCTGCCACTGCCTCCGACACCAACCTGGCAAAGCGCGGGAACGGTTTTGCAACGCGATGTGATGTGCGGCCAACCAGACATGCTCATGCGCAAGGCCCAGGAGCTTTTAGGACTTGCGGGGGCATTCTGATGTCCGATGGAGACCGTCTGGCTGCGTACATCTGTCGCCCTATAGTCAAGTACTGTAATGGAATCCGCTTGCCCAAGGCGGAGCATGCTACACGTGATATACAGGACAGGCCAGCATCACCAGCAACGCATTTCCCAATGGCGTCTTCAGAACACGCACCTTGCTAAGCGCTAAGCCGAGCCCTCCTAGTCTTCCACGCTCTGCCAACATGAAAAGTTTGCAACAGAAGTTGCTGAAAATTACATTGGACACGTCGCAGCAACTGGACCCTGCCTGTCGACATGCATCTTCTGCGTCACTCTCATTACTGTAGCTCCATGTGGTAACAACTTCACGTCGCGGAAGCATTCGGGAAGTTGACTTCCACATTCGTTTTCGCAGATGCACGGCTGTTGGAAAACGATTCTCGAGAAAAACAAACGACGATGTGCCTTCTCTCGAGGAGGCAACTGGATGAGGGTCCGATCGAGTCCGTACATTCTGCTACCAGTCCTTCTGAAATCTGAACCTTCGAATTCTCCCAAGAGGCGTCTGAAGAAGGGGCACGTGGCGCTGGAGACTACAGTTCAACTGTCAAGCAGGCTCGCAGCCAAATGCGTCAACTTGCATGCAGCCAAGCACGAATTAACGAGGTCCTGGCCACTTGGCTGACATGCCTGAGAAACAGGCGCACATTGGCACACATGTTCCACAACTGACAATTGGCATCACTCTGAAAGCCAGTCACATTTAATCAACTTAATCTCATCTTGAACTAGTTGCGATACTCACTTAATCTTATACATATGAAGTAGGAGAGCCAAGCACCAGCCGTAACAAGAAACTCGAAAACGGCCGCGGTGCTGGGCCGCCGCCATGAAGAGGACTAACTCCATGCCTCGCTTGGCCTGAGATGCGGTGCCAGGAACCCCCTTTTATCGAGGCGTGGGGTGCGTGTAGCTACTGCTACTGTAGGGACCTTTTGGGGTATACTATACTATATATTGTAACTATTCATTGAAGGCCCCTATATTATCATCTTCCTGTCGTGCAGCTCCCAAGTCTTGTCAGTTTAGAACTGGCCTGAAACGTTCACACTGGGCTCTGACCATGGAGTTGTACTCCCCCAGGAAATTGTTAAGCACCTGCGCAGAAGTCCACAACTCCAAAAACTGGAGGGTGTTTTCGCTTCGTTCGATCGCCGGCTACAATGACAATGTGCCGAGATGCCTGCGCTTAGAAACGCAGGAAGAGCACGCAGGTTGCAACAGTTCTCTTCCAGACTTCCGACAGATCTAGCAGTCTTGCGTCCCGCGCGTTGCGCAAGACCCTCACATTCAATGTGCATGCAGGGACGATCAAGACGCGACAGATCTCCATGAGCGGGAATCGGGCCCCCTACCCCAATCGGACGCTCCGATATTCGGGGTTTTAGGGGCGCGGCAAAGCTCTTCGCATCTCTTCGCCCTCTGTCTGGTTGGTTAGGCCAGCGGTTGATTTCTCTTGTTTTCGCACATGCATTTTCCCGGACTCACCGGCCGTCGGCGAAAAACAACAAGCTTGGCTGATCTATGCTGACCTCACATCTCAAGCCGGTCCCCCGCATGAGGCGATGGCGGTTGATGGCCCACTCACACAAACTCCTTTCGCATGTCCATGATCAATGTGGTGGGGGTGGGAGCGAAAACAAAACACCAAAACCCACCCAACGCAGAACTCTCAAGTATTGTCTGACATACGATTCACTTACGTCACTATGATCTAGATGAACTGGTAAACGACAACTCCCGCAAGCTCCACACAGCTTTCGCGATGAAAGGCGCTGGCATCGAAGGATGGCCTCGCTCCCCTTGGGGTCCCCTCGGACTCGGCATCCCACGGATGCCGGCGTCGAAAAAACGCTTGCGGCCAACGCTTACGTCGAATAAAAGCGAGGCAGTCGCCAAGTGAAGGGGCGAGCGTACGACATGGTATCAACAGCCATCGCCTAACAGTGCAGATTTGCTATGCGAAATCACCCGCCATCGCCTCATGATGTGGCGGGCCTGAGACATGTTATGACAATGACCAGGTATGAGACCAAGACCTGTCGCCTGAGGGACGCAAGTACGACATGAGATGAACCAAACTCGCCCAAAATGAGGGCCCGGGACTCGAAGCTCGTGAATTTGCAACCGTCGAACTTTGCGCTGCACCAGAGTTTAGGGTTTAGGCCTATAGGGTTTAGGCTTTAGGTTTACACTCTTACAACTCGGACAAGCCAGGCGAGGATCCATAGGTGCATAAGTCGGTGTGACACAAGGCATCCAGTCAGGTTTAGGATTTAGCGTTTAGGGCGCTCCTCGCTCCGTGGAGCGCCGTACGGCCACTATAGCCGCCTCGGCCCAGGGTCAGAGGCCGCAGCCGGCACAGGGGGACCTGGATTTTTCTTTCGCGCAGTCGCACTGGCGCCGAGCAAAACCTAACTTTCAAACTTGAAAGCTTTCGAGCTGTCAAGCTCAACACTTTCGAGCCTTCTGACTCCGGGAGACGATCAAGCTCGACCACGGCCGAAGGTTGGAGCTTGAGTTCGAAGCAGCGAGTCGAGCTCGAAAGTTGCCAGGTGGCAAAAACGCAATTGGAAGAACGCAGGTTCCGGAGCGAGCTAAGCGTCCAAACTTTCGATCACCTGCACAATTGAAGCCTTGAGCGCTTACAAGTTTTACACTTCGGACCAGGGAGCTCGCGAAGCTTCGAGTCCGGCATAGAGCTTAGAGGGCTTACTAGCTTACTCGTTGGCTTTGCAGCCGCAAGAGCGGGAGTTGTCAGTTGGGATTGTAAATAACCCCGTAGAGATTTCCCTATCCCGAGATTGGGTTATAGTTTGTATTCCTTCTCATCGTTTTTCTAATCAAAACCACCAATCTTGATGTTAGTACAACTTTAGTACGGTGCCTCGTTTTCGCTCCTGGCTGGATTGTGCTCGGCTGCAGTTCATCTTTAGTACTGGAAATGCCTCGTTCGGGGTTCTGGCTGGATTGTGCTTGGTTGTACTACGTACAACTTTAGTACTGGAAATGCCTCGCTTGAAGTCCTGGCTGGATTGTGCTTGGTTGTAGTACAACTTTAGTACTGGAAATGCCTCGTTTGGGGTCCTGGCTGGGTTGTGCTTGGTTGTGTAGTACAGCTTTACTGCCGGAAATGCCTCGTTTGGGGTGCTGGCTGGATTGTGCTGGGTTGTCGTACAACTTTAGCACTGGAAATGCCTCGCTTGAAGTCCTGGCTGGATTGTGCTTGGTTGAGAACAACTTTAGTACTCGAAATGCCTCGCTTGAAGTCCTGGCAGGATTGTACTGGGTTGTAGTACAACCTTAGTACTGGAAGCGCTTCGTTTGGGGTCCTGGCTGGAGCGTGCTGGGTTGTAGTAATTGTAGTACAACTTCAGTACTGCAAATGCCTCGTTTGGGGTCCTGGCTGGATTGCGCTGGGTGTAGTAATTGCAACTTTAGTGCTGGAAATGCCCCGTTTGGGGTCCTGGCTGGATTGTGCTTGGTTGTAGTACAGCTTTAGTACTGGAAATGCCTCGCTTGAAGTCCTGGCTGGATTGTGCTTGGTTGTAGTACAACTTTAGTACTGGAAAAGCCTCGTTTAAAGTTCTGGCTGGGGCGTGCTGGGTTGTAGTACAACTTTAGTACTGGAAATGTTCCGTTTGGGGTCCTGGCTGGATTGTGCTTGGTTGTATAGTACAACTTTAGTACTGGAACTGCCTCGTGGCTGGATTGTGCTTGGTTGTAGTACAACTTTAGTACTGGAAAAGCCTCGTTTGGGGTCCTGGCTGGAGCGTGCTGGGTTGTAGTGCAACTTTAATCAGTACTGAAAATACCTCGTTTGGTTCCCGACTGGATTGTGCTGGGTTGTAGTAACTACGCCCTTACTACTGGAAATTACTGGAAATTCCTCGTTTGGGGTCCTGGCTGGATTGT